TTTTTTTTTCATTTCCTTTTATGTTAGTCATTATTTGGCTAATGGAATGATCACTAAATTGCTGATGTATATTCAGTAAAACGAGATGTTCGTGAGCTCAGTTTAGATAATGAGCTAAATTTTAACCTAAAAAATACGAGTTCTTATTTTATTTTATATAATTCAGCTTGTTAATAATCAAGTTCGACTATTTAAAACTCGAGCGTGACTCTTTAGCGTTAGTAAACGAGTCGAGATCGAACTATTTTATCGGCTAGTTTAATTAACGAGTCAATAACCAACAAACTCCAATATTAGGAGTTCGAGCTCGATTGGGTTTGTTCACACCTCTACCTTAGAATTCATCATTCGATGGCGCCTATGTATTTACTTGACGCCTTATAATGATTAAACATAATTTGAGACTAAACAAAATGTTGGGATATCATACATGGAATGGAAATTTAATGATATTAGCTCACATATTTCTCTTCTCTTTATAGTTAGGGTTTATATCATTGAAAATATTGCATCAAAATATTGTAAATCACAACAATATCTCCCCAATCTCCACTCAATTTCATGGAATATGAGAAATTTGACTGATTTCACAACATCAACCCTTCATTTCCCCTCCAAATTCTCTTCCATCTACTTAGCACCCAAACATCTTTCACTCCAAAATGTATCAAAATTGTGAACTACACCACACCCTTTTGAGCATCAATTTTCTCCATAGCCACATCCATGGTTTCACTTCTCTTGTACTTGAACCACTTGGAACAAATCAAGAAATACCCCAAATTCAAAGCCTCCAACACGCCAACGAGGTAGTAGAAATAGTCCAACCTCCCCTTGTTCAAATCCTCCGCCAACCAATTCTCATCTCCCCCGACCTGCGTGGTGTTGTGAACGACCAAAATCAGGAGACTGCCAAGATAACTGGCGGCCGCGTACCCCATGAACACGAACGAGCCCCCGAAGCTCCTCATGTTCTCTGGGAACTGCTTGTAGTAAAACTCGTACTGCCCGATCATGCAGAACGCCTCTGACATCCCAGCCAGCGCCAGCTGTGGAATCAGCCAGTTCCCAGACATCGACGAGACCGCCCCTTTTCTCGGCTCGAAACTGAGCGTGGGCTCGGTCAGCGCCAGTATCCGCCTCCGGTTCTCCACGAGACCTGAGACGAACATCGTCAAGATCGCGAAAACTAACCCGATTCCCAACCTCTGGAGCAGTGTGATTCCCTCATCCTTTCTTGTGACCCGTCTCAGCAGTGGGACCAAAACCCTATCGTAAATCGGGATCCATATCGTCAAGGTCAACATGGATAAAACTGTGTACGAGGCGGCCGGGATTTTGAAACTTGTGCCCGCCAAACGACGGTCGACTTGGAGGGCTTGGAGGACAGTGTAGCTTTGCACAACCAAGAATATGAAGTAGACGATGCATGCTATCCATATGGGGATAACTCTAACGACGCACTTTATCTCCTCCACTTGTTGCACGCTTCGGAGATTCCATGGATCAGATGCTGACCCGTCTGAGTTTATTTTGTCCTCCGATGTTAGAATTGCGGCTTTGTTGAGGAACCTAACAACATGCATCCAAATCATTTTTGACTTAGTTACGATAATGTCAATATTATCCCTAATCTCGATTTGAAAACATCTAAACCAAAAAACTCGTTTTGTTCACAAAAACGGACAAAATACCTAAAACTCAAGATGACCGACTAACTAACCTGAGTTGATCCGAGTAAGCTAGCCGGGAGTTAATCGAGTCCTCCGGGACGTGATTAAAAAGGGCAGCCTCGGGAAGCTCGGGTAGCTCTAGCCGCCTCTTCTTGACCGCGACGGTCACCGTCTGCACCACGCTCGTGAGGGGGCTCCCCTGAGGCGGGACCACCACGTAAATCCTCGTCCCGATGAAAAAAAACACGCACGATAGGAACATGAGGAAAGTCGGTATTCCGAGCCCGATGGCCCAACTGATGCTCGACTGCACGTAAACGATAACGGTCAACGAGACCATCATCGCGAACGTGAAGGTGAAGTAGTACCAATTGAAGAAGCTATTGATGCCCCTCTTGCCGGAATCCGTGCCCGGGTCGAACTGGTCGGCCCCGAACGCGAGGTTGCACGGCCGGATTCCGCTAGC